TTCTACCTTTCACTCCATAAATTTGCATCCTTAGTACAAATTGAATAAACATACTAAATTTTGTTCGCAGCACATTTATTTTGTACATGAAATCAAATAAACATGGAAAGAGACCCGGCACTCTTTAACTAATCTTTTCCAGGATATTGATCTTCCACCGATGATTCACCTAGCAAATCCTCCTAAACAAAAATTGGGATGTTAATTTCCTGTCGTTTTGACAAACAATCTGCAATCAGTGTTCTAAAGAGCATGTTTTGGCTAAATGTTACAATAAATAATTTCTTATGGGTCAAAGTTAAAAATAAGTTATTTGTTTTGACAATAAGATAAGAGTTACAGTTCCAGAATAACTTATTTTACTTGAAAGATGAAAAAAGTAAATTGTCCAACAAAAATTTATTTAAAATTAACTTCTGCTTCTTTCTTATGTTTAGCCAGAACATGCTTTGTCCTCTGAAGTTATTTCTAGAAGCCCATAATTCTGGGCTATAGTCAAATGTTCTTCATAAAGCCTCGTCTTCGATGGTCCCCGGAACTTCAGAACACTGATCACAGTCAAAATTTTTACTTGAGAATATTTCTATTGATATATAATCTCTCTTCCTGTGTAAATGCAGCACATACTGGAAAAATGAGGACGAAGGAGGGATGGGCGGCTTTGCAGGTGATGCTGATGCACATCCTTACGTCTCATTCACTATTAATTTTATTTAAGCTACTGCATTGCAATTGTCGCTGTCCATTTCAAAATCCCATGTGTGATTTTAGTAGGCCTCGAAATAAGGACAGAGACTATATTTGTATAATAGGTTAGGTTATCCCATTCTTTTTCATTGAAGACTACACTAGCTTGTCAAACATTCCTACCGATTTTCCCAAATTGCAGCAGATTATTTCTTCCTTCCTGTATACTATTTTCTCATTGTGTTTAAGACACATGATCGAACGCATGTTATCATCGAGTAGTGAAAATTAAAAGCTTGTGCTTTTATTTATAGAAATCTAGTCCCGTGACATGATGCTGATGCACATCCGTACATCTCCTTCACCATTAATCTTATTTAAGCTACGGCATTGGCATTGGCATTGGCATTGCAATTGTCGTTGTCCATTTCAAAATCCCATGTGTGATTTTAGTAGGCCTCGAAATAAGGACAGAGACTATATTTGTATAATAGGTTAGGTTATCCCATTCTTTTTCATTGAAGACTACACTAGCTTGTCAAACATTTCTACCGATTTTCCCAAATTGCAGCAGATTATTTCTTCCTTCCTGTATACTATTTTCTCATTGTGTTTAAGACACATGATCGAACGCATGTTATCATCGAGTAGTGAAAATTAAAAGCTTGTGCTTTTATTTATTATATGTTGCTTTTGATGGTAGCATTCCTCTTTCATCTGTTTTGCATTCAACGCTAGCCACATTGCACTCTTCTAAATAATGGCATTTAGTACTTGTAGTCACTGTATAAATTTGACTATTGCATTAAGCTGGGTGGGCAGACAACAAATGAGTCTTAAATAGGACGTATTCGGTAAGACTTTTGTCACTACTTTTTATAGAAGAATTTCTTGAAGAAGCTCGACTAACAAGACGACGAACTTCTAAAAAAAATTATTCAAACGTATGTAAAAGTAATTTCTTAATATCAAAAGTAAATTTTAACTTTTTAAAAGTCTTGTCAAATGGGTACTATCGTTAATTTGGAACATAGCATGAAGCTATTTCTCACCCACAGACTGGTACTATCTGATGAAGCTCATCATATCAATCTGTAGTGTAGCTGAAAGTAGAGATGGGTGAAGCATTCACAGGATCAGACTGTATAATCAATAATGTCACTCCCTATCATTATATTAATGTCTGCATATGGATGGTAAAAAACAAAGATCCTTTTATCCATTCGATAGATGATGGAGAATTACCTTAAATGTATTTTTAATGTACAATACTAGATTATAGATATTGCATGTTGACTAAAGATGAAAGCAATGCTCAAAACTTGGACCACTTTATGTAACTTCCATTTGATTTCAAGGCTAACAAAGCTTAAATGAGTAATTTGATTTGTTTGAAGCTCAAGCAAGTAATTGAATTTCAGATTTGGTGTTCAGAAACGTACTAAAATCTTGACGGGATATATTAAGATTAATATCCCAAATTAATTGAATATGATATTATAAGATTGAACTTCAAATCCCGATAAATTTATCTACGAGTGTACTTACAAACAAGTGGGAGCAATAGCCTAGTCAATATTAGGACAATCCATTACCCATGCCTTGGCTGCATCTCACACCTCTTAAATATTGAAGTCACATATGCCCAATTCTCTCTCTCTCTCTCTCTCTGATATATACATGTATATATATATATATTGAAGCAGACAAGGTAATTCAATGGCAAGTACACCATGCCATGAGGGCTTAGTCCTCATTCACCAAATTAAATAGAACTCCGGCCCCACTGGCCGTAACTGTAGTCGGTAACACCGAACAGTGGGCCGTGACCGGGTCCACACGAACCGTCCTCTGCATGGGATCCATAATGTAGAATTGTCCATATCCTTATCCTTGACTGTTGACTCTGATTGAAAGAACAAAAGAAAGTCGATAAAAAAAATGGTGAAGATTCCATTGAATTAATGCTGTGTTTTGTAACTGAACTCTCCCTTGTCTTTTAGCAGAGAAGTTGTCTCAAACAGCCATGTTCGAACACGAGGGTAGTTCTATCTCATACAGAATTCTTGGTAGATTTAGAGTACAATGTAAAAGCTAAAAAAATAAGAAACTATACTTCATTCGTGTGAATGTCATGCTTCTCGTCGTCATACATCAAGTGTAGGTCTCCTAATCCTGATCATTTTTATACTACTTCAAAGAGATTTTGTGAATATATATCTTACTCAAAGTTCGACCGAAAAGTACTCTATAGCTTTGTCACAACTTTCATGTTTATATCACGTCTCTTTTGTTAATTTATTTTGTCGACCAGAAGTTTGTTGAATTTTTTTTTCTCACTGTAAGCTGTGTTTACCATCACGTCTTCCTATAAGGTCAGCCTTGAAATTTTGGATGTCATGTGTGACATTTTAAAATGGTTCCCCTTTCATAAAATTAATATATATATATATATTCCAATAATATTATATTATCACAAAATTATGATATTTAAATACTGTTTATTTTTTTAAATATCGTGAATAAGAAAAGTAGAAATAAAATTCAAAATCACCTCTCATACTTCATCAAAATTCATGTCATAAACAAAGAACAATCCAAGTCCCTAAACTTTTCGTGCAATTCCATATAAGAAAATCTTGAAATTAGAAACATCAAATACTGCGTGTAAACTTTGAAATACAACAAATAATGTAAAAATATTTCTTCGAGCATTTCTACAAGCAAATTAACTAATTAAACTTTCTTTTCTAGCAAATTTTGTTTAATAGATATTAAACTAGGTCATTCAATCGTCCGTATAACATGGTTGATTGTAAATAAGATTTTAATAACTTCAATTTGAAAATTTTCTTCCGACGATGCAACAATAACATTAATTGTCAACAATACTTTATAAACAATAAATGTATTCGAAAAGTGATCCAATCTTTTCAAATAAGTCAATATATCAAAAGATGTCTTTGTTTCTGTTGATATTTCAATAAATTAATATATAAAAAATTGTCTTTATTTCTTTTGGTAAAAAATTTTGCAAATTTTTTTATCTCTTGAAGCAAATCTTTGCCATAAAGATAGCAAAAATTTACATGTCTTGGAACAATGTTAAGATAATCACACATACTTTCAAATCAGCATCATCAAATGCATTTTACTTGTCAAAAAAAAAAAAAAATTTTTTTTGCATGTGAATTGAATTGATCGAACATTCGTTCAAGTGATATAATTGATTGATCTACAATATAAAAGAAATAATTGGTTATTAAAGAATTTTTAAATGATTGTGCGTCATCTACAGTGGCATTTTCATCAAAATGTTTCTCGTACGAATTGTATTTTTTCCTCTTTTCCCTTTTTCTCGATATTATTTAAAGCATGATACTATTTAAGAAAATTATAACTAATCAATTACATTATTCTTAACTTTAGTATCTTATGCAATTGCATATCATATCAAGTCAAATGCATACAATTAATAAAGAAATAATCCATAAATGAAAATAGTTAAACACAACACACTGAAATTAACTATGAAAGAGCCTAAACCATCTGTATTATTTCCATTGCTTTAATAAAAATGTCTTCATAAAATATGTAATTAGAATAAGAAATACAACAATATTAAATAAAAAACCATCATTTGTTTATCTTTTAACTAATTTTTCATAAACATTATACCCTTTAACTTAACATAATAATTAAAACTTGAAAATTAATAAATATTTTAAATATATAATTATACATATACATACACAAATAACAAAAAAAAATTTGGTGCCCTTACAATGATGAGGTCATGTGTGGTCGCTCAACTCGCTCACCTTCAGGGCCATCTCCGGTCAATTATACACTATCACATATTGATGAGTAAGTACAAATAAAGTTATTCTTCTTTTTATATATGTATATAATATATTTTATATTTTTATTTTTATTGATATGTGAGAGAAAAAGGAAATTACTTTTTGGGAGTTGGTTGATTTACCTTTTAGAAAAAGGAGAATTCCCCTTGGGGTCATAGGAAAATTTTGTTTGATTGTTCTCATTGAATTTCATTTGTTGGCATTCTGTTTGTTTGCATGGATTACAAAGGAAGTAAACTGAAACTAAACAGGTAGATGAAGTTATCCAACAAAATCCATTAGAATGGATAAGAAATATTCTTCTTCTCTTCTACATAACAAACAAAGTAGACAAGAACTTTTCTTCAACGCGGCAAAATTACCAAGGCAAAATAATTCACCATCAAAGTTCACAAATTTATCGAGTTTGTATCATTATAACTCAATAAGATATAACTAGCTAAGGTGATGTCGAGTTAAAAATGTCTCTATTAATAATTTAGCACAATAACACGTGTGACAAAATGATAAACACAGGATAATTGTTCGTAAATCTGTCTAGTATGTAATATAACTAGAAGTTGTCAAATTAAAATGTCCCGACTAATGATATAAAACGACGACGCATCATGCCAATCAATGAGGGGGAAGGCATTAGAAAAGAACTTGCCATGGCCATGGATGCATATATACATTGACCAACGAATATAAAGATGATGGATATCATGTCCAGTTGAGATTTTGATGGGTCATGTATTTTTGTGATCATGTACTCATCATTTTAGGGATACCATAAAAGTGATGGGAAGAAGCATCGAGTATACATAATGACTTCCCTTTATGGTTTCTAGATAAAGACATGACCTTAGGGTTTAAGTTTGTAACACTTGGACATTACTTTGTAGGGTATTTAGTGTGACATAATAATCATAAAGTGCAAACGTGTCATGTTCTCAACCTGATTTGTTTGCCAAAATTTGAAAAAACCCAAATGCTTTGGACGAGCTTATCTTGTTGGTTAACACTAAGCATCCATTTGGTGTTACTTAAAATCTTGTTAAAGAATAGAGATGGATTTCAGGACTTCTAATATTTCAACTCTTTGAGCTAATTTTAGTTGGTGGAAAGTGTAGGAAATTAAGAGAGAAATGAAAATCAAAGTAGAAAAGAGGTTTATCAAAGTCGGTG